GGACCACACTACACTGGCAGTCTTCAAGCTGCACAGATCCCAGGTAAGGTGCAACTATTGAGGTTGTGTAACTCTGAATAGTAACTTGGAATCAATAGTCTTTTTGTTTCTTTGTTAAAGCTGTTTTCACACTATGTTAACTATCCTGTGACACTAAATTCTTGTCCCACAATCATTTTGAATACCCTATCCATCTAATAAAAGGATACTTGCCATCTAAAGATTTATAAGTTGATGATAAATAAAAGGAGAGTGGCAATTATCAGGTGTCCAGAAGGTTTAACCATATTTTGGCTTCTTTCTTGAACAGCATCAGGTGAGAACCAAACACCACAGACCCTGTCTGTGGTCCCTGAGGAGAAAGTCATATTTGGCCTCAACGCCTCGACTCTCTCACATCTCACTCTCAACAAGATTCGCAAGATGTACTCCAAAGTAGACAACAAAGCCATTGCCAAACAGGTGATACTACATTAATTTGCTTTTATGATAGATTAAATGGGGATTGTTTTATTCTTTTGGTGTCCTTTTTTTTTTTTAAAGATCAGTTGCATTTGCAAATCTATTTACCCATCTATTTATTTATCTGCCAGTCAGTCATTTGGTCAGTCAGTGACACAGACAACGGCAGATACATCCATTCAAAGTTAGTGTAGGCAGAATAATAATTAGGCGAATTGATAGATACAAAAATGTATGAATGGCAGATGATGAGGGGTGGATGATTTAAGAGAGGTAGAGATGAGCAAGTTAGGAGGAAGATAACTTTATTGAGTAATTGTTAGGTTGAAAGAATGATTGGTTGACAGTAGTTTGTATTATGTATTGATTAACTTAAAATATAAGTAAGATTATATATCTGTTAAGGTAGATTTTATAACCCTCCTCACCTCCCTCAGCTGGGTATGTCGTCTCACGAGAACGCCACCCCAATCCGAGTCCTCCATAACTCTGCAGGACACCTGAGTGGCCCATCGAGGTCCCTTGGGGGCGTTGTGATCGGCTACTTGGGTGTTCGTGTGTTCTGTCCTAGGCCTGTGGCAGCCATGCTTGATAATGTGGGGGGTTGCTCTGTCCTTCTTGGTAAGTCAGGGGCCTTTTTATATGGTGCTGATATTTGTTTTTTTGTCTTTTGTATTTATTTTTTTCTGAGAAGATAAATTGAAATATTGAAAGACCACATATAAGTTCTGTGATTGCTGCCCGTGATGTTTAGCAGAAAGCAGGTTCTAGCTGAAAGAAAATGATTGAATGAATTTAGCATTACCTTTAGTTATTCTCTAACCTAATCCACGTCTTTCAGGTTTGGTTGCCATGTCGAAGGATGTGGAATCACTTTATGCATCAGTGAAGGCCCTTTCGTGTGTCATCAAAACTAGCAAGACAGGTATGATAGATTTTCTTTAGTTGTTGTTTTTTTCCAAATTATGTTTTAACTCCATTCAGATAGTAATACATATTATTTAAAGACAACTGTTAAAACTGTTATTTTAAATACTGTACAGAACATTGATAAATTCATGAAAATGAACAAAAAACATTACCATAGCCATAGACAAAGTCAACAACAAATGTCAACAAGAAAGAGATAAGAAAGAAGGCACTACCTATTTTCCTCTAATTTTTTTTTTTTTTTTTTTTTTTTTTTTGCTTTCCTCTCACAGCACAAATGGAAATGAACCAGAGCCTGGGCTACCAGACACTTGCCCTCCTCCTCCGCAAGAAGAAGTCGCTCCTCAACTCCCACATTCTCCACCTTTGCATGTCATTGGCTGGGTCAGGCGAGGCTAGGGAGTCATCAGCTATTCCAAGCACGCCTGCGTTCAGTGACCTACTCTGCGACCTGGAGGTGAGGACCAGGAGGAAAGGGGGAAAAGGGATGGAGTGGTTTGGGAAAGGGAAATGGGAAAGGATAAAGATTGGGGGGAAGGGGAGAGGAATGGATAAAAGAAAGGGAAGAAATTTAACTAGATACATGCACACACCCTCACTTGCTGCATCCACACCTACACTCACACTCACATCCACGCCCACACTCACATCCACACCCATACTCATAGCCACACACACACACACACATCCATACCTAGACACACCCACATATATCCACATCCACATCCACCTACACATCTGCACCCACATCCACACCTATACATCTGCATCCACATCTACACCTACACATCCACACTCACATCTACACCCACACACCCACACTTCCACACATCCACAATTCATCGACACCCACATTTCTATACAAATTTTATTGTCCCTCTTCAATTCTTAAAGTTTTCATAGCATCCACCTTGGCAGTTATAGCTTTTGCTTGTATTTATTTTATTGCTCTTCTCATGCATTTTTAAGATTTGTTTTGCAGTCCTATTGTTCCTGTATGGTCTTTTTTGCTTCATTTTATTTTTTTATCACCTTATTGTCTTGTATTGTCTTGCTGTTCCATTTCTGTTATCTTACTATGTGTCTCTTCCACTTTCTTCTTATCTTGTTCCTCATGTCCACATCCTTATTATCATTTGTATGTCTAATCCAGTACCTTAATATATTATATGTCTAATTTAGTTCTTTGTTATCTGATTTTTTGTCTGATCCTCTTCCAAACTATCTCGTTGTATCTCTAATCTACTTGAAGTTATTAGTTTTAAATATTGTTGGTATCAGGAAGTCAGCAAAAAGGTAGACTAGAATTTTGTATTTGCTCAACAAGAGTATTTGGAGATGCAGGTACCAAGCCACATGTCTTTAGGGCCCTGGTAGCAAAATTTAAAACTGTTCAGTGCCTTAGACTCTTGTTATGATGCCTTTTTTTTGTTGGACCTGTTAGTCATACAATCCAGGGCTGCCAACTCAGGCTAACTGACACTTGATGCCTGCCATAAGTTGTTTCTTCTAGAGACAACCCTGGGTGAAACAGGCCTGTGGGGTGACCAACGAAGGTGTGATGAGGTAGAGATCGGATATGGACCTCTACATAGTGTCTTATTGTCCCTCTCGCCTTCTTTCCAGGTGTGGGCAGATGCACCAGGTGACTTGCTTCGCACTCTCCTGGAGCATTTGGTGGAGTTGGCCAGGGAGTCTGGAGAGAGGCAGCATAATGTTCGCAAAATGAGGTTGGTATGATTTATTGGGCATTGTGAGGTTTGTTGTTTGGGGGCTATTAAATGGAGTGTTGTTTGATGCTTTCCAGGGATTATCTAGATATTATTGCTATGATTTTTATTGTTTAACCTTTTCATCTATAGAGATTGAGTTTTGGTCAGTGTAAATGAGCTGATTATGCTTAAATGGAAGTCATTATGAATTTTAAAAATTTATGAAAAATTGGTAGGGATTTAGTTTGATATGAATATGATTGGTGCTTTGTAGCATATTATGTACCTTTCAGGAATCTGAATTTGTAAAAGGTACAAGAGACTCCTATGGATAATATGTAATGATTACAAGAGATTGTCATATCTTACTTTCTGTATTGACAGTAGGATAATAAAAAGAGACGTATCTTTCAGACAACTGCGCTTGGTACCACGCCTGCTGCACCTGCTATGGGAACAATCGCAGGGCAAAGAAGTGGCCTCATCATCCCCGTCAAACAACTCATCATCTTCTAATAATTCGTCATCCTTTAATCATCACTCAAACGTAAACACAGCCAGTATATGTGCCAGTACGCCCGTCATATTCACACTGCTCACAACGTTGCTTGCCAACAACCCACGTCCCCAAGATCTGTTAAGGTTTGTTAGAAGGACTCGGATTTGGTGGTTGATAAGTTAATGCTTAAAGTTTCTGGTTGATGCAGAAAATGAGCTGGAAATAGTTTGTGTGGTAATCATCCCCTTGATTCTATATGTTTCCTTGCAGTTTTGGTCAGTTTATTGTGTCGACGCTTCCCATCTTGAGCATATCGGAGAAACACATCAACCTGAAAAATGCAGAGGAAAAAGGGTTTGAAAATGGAGATAGCTCAAGCCTCTCTATGCGAAATATTCTGCTGAGGAACAAATGTCTAGAGATTGTGCACACACTCATGTACAATTCCAACAAAAATACAATACATCTAGGGTGAGTATTGGTTTTCTTGTGGGGTAGGAGTCATTTTATGTGATCAGTGTATATGCAAATACAACGTTACAATTTTGTTTTTGTATATTGGTTTATTTTTTTGGTAGTCTCAGAAAATATATACATTTCTGTATTTCATTTTGGTGTTGTAGTATTTTAGTTATTATTAAGACCTTACATAGAGGGTCTTTTTATTCCACAATTTGTGTACTGAATGAATATATTATATGTTATATTCCTTACCTTTCAGGTTCTGCGAAGAGGTAGTGAAAGTCCTGGGCCTGGATTGGGTCTTGCTCTTTGCCCAGGGACATTTACATCCTTCCACAGTACTCATTGCACTGCGCATGTTAGTGGCTCTGCTCTCGAATGCTGGGATTCTTCAGAAATTCAGGGACGCTTCTCACAATGGCGGCTGGATGACAGATGCGCAGCAGGTCACCTCAAATAAGTACGGTCAGGTCCTTGGTGAGTTGAGCGTCCAACATGGATTTGCATTGGTAGAATTACAGTATGATTTGGTGATTGTTTATGTACTAGGAGACAACAAAGACACGTTTGCATTTTTTGATAGAAAACAAGGTTGATTTTCTGGGGCTCATGAAGTTACCATTTTTAGAGAAAGCCTAGAGAAGAAAGGTGGTTATAGGTAAGCTTGAATGAAGACAAAAATAACCCTCTGGAAATTTGTTCTTTTAGATATACCATAATTATCAAACTGCTAAATTGAAATGAGGGATTCTGGTGAAATAAGCTAGTCAGGATATTAACATGAGGTTCCTTTAGGTGCACAAGCTAATGATACAGATGTTGAATAAGATTAGCTTCAAATGACATCACTGATAAATGATGTCTGTGTAGGTATTACACTTATGTCAATAATCTTTTTATATATATATTTTTTATCTTTAGTTTATATCTGTGAAATGTTTAAAAAGTAAAAAAGACTAGGCAAGGCAAGTGAGGACAAGCAGAATGAGGTCTCAGCAGATTTGTCACAAATATTCCATCATATTTGTAATCTAGTTTTGTAGAAAGACATTTAATATGTAATAAGTAAAAGTATTGATGATTAACCCACTGGTTCCAGGAAAATGTAGTGTTCACAGTAGTACTGCTTTGTGGGATGTCTCTACACATAGATGGCTCCACAAGTGCTTAGCCACCAAGTCGTCAATTAGTAGACCTTGTAGCCTAACCTGATTTCACCTTTCCATGAATTTTTTGGGAAAAATGTTTTTTATACAAATGTAATCAGTATTGATGCTGATATTATTATTATAGACATTATAGTTGTTATAGTGTTATTGACATTACTGATAGCAATAAAAAGTAATAGAAAATATATCTAAACATCAATATTTACAGTCAGAGTATGAACCTGTACTTTGTTTGTGTGTCTTGCAAATGAATTGGTCTGTGCACTTAAAACAAGTTGGTGTAATGGACTTATATCCTCAGGGAATTGTTAGGGACAAAATGCTATGTTTTTTTTTGACTCAAGATTCTTTGGACTAATCGTTTCTAATTTTTAAGCTTCCATGGGGTACCTCTGCCTTCTCTGTATTCCATTTTATCAGATTTTTTTTATCTGGCCATGCTTGACGTATCCATTCCATCATGGTCCCTTCTTTCTGTTAACAAAATTTATTTTCTGCAGGCTACTCTGTGGGTTCGGTGGTGAGGTCTCTCAGTGAGATCAGGGAAGAAGCCTGGCACATGCCTGGCTTTCAGCTCATCACGTGGCTTGTTCCACAGCACATCCACGTGCCTCAAGTCTATTACCTGCTCCTGGCACTACTGCTTGGCCAGCCGGTGAAGAATGTGCAGAACAACACAAAGGTGTGAATGCAGGCTTTTGTTTTGTTATTTATTGTTTTAAGTTTGGTTGGGTTTGATAGCACTTCATTAGCTGATACTTTTTTTATTCTTTTTTTTTTCTTTTTTATTTATCTCTTAATTTTTGCAATGAATTGGTATTTTTAAAAACATATGTGCACATTTTATTTGCTTGTTAGAATGTTTTACTTTTACATTTATCTTGATTTTCATTTGCATAGAAAAGCATATTGATTAGAATTATTCATTAGTCTAGGTGCACCCTGGTTTGGTTTCATGCAGTTTATTTATCTATCTATACTTATTTTACTGCTTTCATAAAGAAATGTTACTTTCTTTACTATTTATTGATGTTAGAGCCATTTTATTTGTTTATACTTTACTGCTTTCATAAAGAAACGTTACTTTCTTTACTATTTATAGATGATAGAACCATTTTATTTATTTATACTTTACTGCTTTCATAAAGAAAAGGCTACTTGCTTTACTATTTATAGATGTTAGAGCCAGTTTTACTTATTTTCTCAAAAGAAAGAGAAAAAAAAATTACAAAGTCGGTTTCTGGTAGGCTACCTCAGACAACTGTGTTTAGATCCTCTCATGTCCACAGTTGGACTTGGACAGTATATGGACCTTCGTGTTTGGCGTTCCTGCCAGCCAGTGTGCGACCACCATCTCAGGAAGGGTGTCCTTGTGCCCCGAGGCAGCCATTGCCATCTTGGCCATGGTACGAGCCATGCTGAACCAGGAGGACAAAGGGTAAGTGACAGGGAAGCCCCTGTAGCAGTGCCTCTATAGGAATGCTGTTATAGGAACAAGTTCACTGTTGTTGAGTTTCTCATTTGTTGGTTTTATTTTCATGTAGTTACATTTTTTGTAGATGTAAAGTGTGTTAAATGTGTATTGGTAATGAGTAAAGCTTAGTTATTAGACTACTTCTCGTCCATGCTTGCCTCTGATATGATCACATTAAAAGATAACTGCAGCTTGAATAAAGGATAGAAACACAGAAATGGGAAAGGGGGAGCTGATATCAAGAGACAGGGAGATAGGAAATAAAAATAAAGATGGATAAAAGTAAAATTTAAGAAGAGTATGGAGATGTTTTTTATATTTTAAAGGTGTTAGTATCATGCAATGAAGATAAAAAGTTGCTGTCAGTTTCTAAAGTGAAATTGCAGGTTTAAGACTGTATCAACTTTATTTTTGTTGTAAATATGTAAGTGCTTTTTTGTAGCTAATTGCAACTTGACACTACTGAAAAATAAGACTTTGAGCTTTCTTCCTGTTGATGAAATGATATTTATGGATATAAGCTTTTTGTAAATACAGTACTTATATGCTTGAATATTATTAATATCTTGATTGTTTTATAAGTAATATAGCTTTTTCATTTGTAACATCTGAGATCTGCTTCTTTGTTTAAGAAAGAAAGAAAATTATTAACTTACTAGCCAAGTGTAAATTATATGCAATATATTCATGTAATTGCTTTAAGAAACTGTTGCTGTATAATTAATTTGACAATGGAATGCATTTTTCTTTAGTTGTACTATGTTCTTTACTAACTTTTGGTTCCACACAAGATGATTTTGATTTCCCCCTTTTTATATTTTTAAAAAATTAATTTGTGCCGTCTTCTTTTTAATTTCCCGCAGACAGTTTACAGCAACTGCCACTGTAGCCGGTTCCACGTATGTCCTTTGGTCTTTGTTTAGTTTTTATGGTTTAGTTAAAGATTCCTTCTTTTTTGTTGTTTTTTTCTCTATTTTTGCTTATGTTTTTGTTTTCTGGTTGATTTATCTTTTACTTTTGTGATCTGAATAGTTTCCTTGGATAAAGAGTTTGTGTGATTATTATTATTATCATTATTATTATTATTATTATTATTATTATTATTATTATTATTATTATTATTATTATTATTATTATTATTATTATTATTATTATTAATATTATTATTAATATTATTGTTAATATTATTAATATTATTATTATTATTATTATCATTATTATCATTATTATCATTATCAGTTGGCATCTTGCAGCTTTCATAAAAGCTTTAACCGTGATACATATTGCTGCATTTCTTGGCCTTATCTTTCTGTGTGCAGTGCTTCTGAGAAATAAAGTTATCTTTATATAGTACCATGAAGCCTGATTTGAAGCAAGTTGGACTATACAGAATGCACTTTGATTATGTTGTATGTGCCTCTATACCATGTTGGGTGGAAGTGTATTCTAGCCACTCATTGTGCTGCTTGCCATGCCTTTAGAACTCTTTTTAACCCAATAACTATGAATTTATTTACTGGTCCCTGTAGGTTTTTGTGAATTTTGTTACATACATACGGCTCCACATGTGCTCAGCCATCAGGGGGTCTATCAGCTGGCCTAGTAAGCACACTTGATTTCCCTATGGCTTGAATTTGCAGGAAAATTTGTTTTTCTTTCCAATTCTATGCATATTGATGTTATTCTTATTCTTATTGATATTATGAGTATCTATTTGTTATTAAAATATTAACCCAATGCTGCCAGAAAAATGCTGTGCTATTTTTTTTTTTTTTTTTGTGAAATGTCTCTGCACATGGCTCTGCTAGTGCTTAGCCACTAAGGAGTCAATTAGTAGACCTTGTGACCATGTATGTGCATGCCATGCTTGACGGCATTGGGTTAATAACACTAAACACAATAAAATAATACAAATGAAGCTTTCCAGAAATCAAGGAAAATGGTAAACAGGTGAGATAGGTAGGACACATAACTGACTCCTTGGTGCCTAAGTACTCGTAGAGCCATCTGTATGTAAAGACAATAGATGAACTTATATTATTGTGGGCATGGCATGTATTCTTGCCATCCATGCCAGTTGGGTTAAGCAGTTCAGTTACAAAGTAACAGCCTGAGGAATTTTGACAGTTTGTCCAAAGAGTGAGAATATCTTTGTTCATAATTTAAGTTTTATTATAAATGAGGCAAGTTTTCCTTGCTGGAATTATTAGTACACATTCCAATATGATGGGGCATGGACATGGAAAACAGAAACTGTAGAGAATTGGATGATAACTAGTAAGAGAAACAGTAAGTGTATCATATAATTATCTTTGCAAATTTTCTTCACAAATGGAAAGGGAGACTAATGCAGACACTGTATTTAGTTGTCTATTACAGTGACTGAAATTATGGTATTTTGATTCACCTAACTGTTAGTTGGTATTCAGGAATGCATACATTTCTGGGGTAAGTTTATTTTTTTATGGTTTTATATGACAGTATAGAAGGTATATTATATATATGAATATATATAAATACATATAAATACGTATAAATACGTATAAATACGTATAAATACGTATAAATACGTATAAATACGTATAAATACGTATAAATACGTATAAATACGTATAAATATGTATATATATATATGTGTATATATATATATGTATATATATATATGTGTATATATATATATGTATATATATATATATGTATATATGTATATATGTATATATGTATATATGTATATATATATGTATATATGTATATATATAAATATATATATATATATATATATATATATATATATATATATATATATATATATATATATATATATATATATATACACACACACACACACACACATATATTTATATATGTATTATATATATATATGTATGAAGTATTTGAGTTTTTTGTTTTTGTTAGGTTGTAAACATTATGATATTCAAGAGTAAGATTGTTACTTGTATAAAGTTTTCCAGTTACTTTTTTAGTAGACTCGTTAACCCATTGTACCTGGGTCTCAATATGTACTAGACAACCATGATTTTGACCATAACTCTGGCATCAAGATAATCTAGGCATCTGATGTGTTCATCAAGATGCTCAGAATTGTATGGAAAAATCTTGCACTGTGCATCTGCATACAGAGACACAAGCTTCCAAATTTGGCTGAAAATTGATTTACAATACATAGATTCCTTATTATTTTTTTTTTTACAGTTTTGTGTATATGTTATATAAGTATGTGTTAACCCATTCACGCCGGGTGTCATGTATATGTGACGGGCCCACTTGTTTAATTGTTTTTACACATAGATGGCTGCACTTGTACTTGTACTGCCTGTCTCGCCTGTTTACCCTTTTCTTTAATTTACGAAAATATTATACGTTATCTTATTTTGCTGTTACTAACATTATAGTAATTATAATGTTTATAATAAAAATAACCATCGATATTCATTGTACTAGTAAAAATACATTTTCCCGCCAAATGAAATCAGGTAAGGCAGAGCCATCTAGTGTAGAGAAATTTCACAAAAAGTATAAAAAATGAGCACAGCATTTTCCCCCATTTTTTGTTCATTTTTACCTGGCGCAAATGGGTTAAGTGGCAAACAAGGACTGAAATTACCAATAAGCTCCACCTAACATCACAAATGCCGGCATGAACATAGTGATCCTAATACTTTGGCTAACTTGATGATTTAAGTCTCCCACTTGCATTGAATTAACCCATTGCCGCTGGGGAAAATGAACAAAAAAATGGGGGAAATGCAGTGCTCATTTTTTATATTTTTATGAAATATCTCTGTCCATAGATGGCTCTGTTAGTCCTGATTTCACCTTTCCTTGAACTGGCGGGAAAAAACGTATTCTTACTAGTGCTATAAATATAAATGGTGTTATTTTTAACAACGAATTAGGATAACGTTAAATATTTTCGTAAATCGATGAAAAGGATGAACGGGCGAGACAGGCAGTACTCGTAATTGGCTCATTGGTGACTTGGTACAAGTGTAGCCATCTATGTGTAAAAACAATCGAACAAGTCGACTCACAGTGGGCATGGCATGGACGTACATGCCTTCCCCGGCGGCAATGGGTTAAGTGGATGCACCTAAACCGCTGAGTTGGCCGGAATCTGGGCCAACTACCCACTAGCGGCCATTTGAGATGTCATCCACTGGTGATTTGTGTCTGTGTCATCCACTGGTGATTTGTGTCTTTGTGTCATCCACTGGTGATTTGTGTCTGTGTCATCCACTGGTGATTTGTGTCTGTGTCATCCACTGGTGATTTGTGTCTGTGTCATCCACTGGTGATTTGTGTCTGTGTCATCCACTGGTGATTTGTGTCTGTGTCATCCACTGGTGATTTGTGTCTGTGTCATCCACTGGTGATTTGTGTCTGTGTCATCCACTGGTGATTTGTGTCTGTGTCATCCACTGGTGATTTGTGTCTGTGTCATCCACTGGTGATTTGTGTCTGTGTCATCCACTGGTGATTTGTGTCTGTGTCATCCACTGGTGATTTGTGTCTGTGTCATCCACTGGTGATTTGTGTCTGTGTCATCCACTGGTGATTTGTGTCTGTGTCATCCACTGGTGATTTGTGTCTGTGTCATCCACTGGTGATTTGTGTCTGTGTCATCCACTGGTGATTTGTGTCTTTGTGTCATCCACTGGTGATTTGTGTCTTTGTTTGCATCCCTGTTTCTGAGGACTTTATTTACAAAAATTATGATAAAATGAGAATTTTTGCCAACTATAGAAATCTGTAAGTGGATGCAGAGTACAACTTTCCGTCAACTATATTTAGATGCTTGGTTGCAGTTACTGATGGGGATAGGTTCATAGTAATTTTTTTTTTTTTTTCTATTGTCAGCATCAGTTTTGATGCTGGCACAGTGAAGGGTTTCCCATTGTAAGAGAAAGTGTTCATTCCCCTTTTACAGAAAGGAACTTCCTGAATGGCTGCAGAGCTACCCCGTAACCCTCATCCAGTTCCTGCGATTCCTCTACCAGCAGAATGGTGACTTCCTCCCAGTCTTCCTGTCTGGGGATGTTCTAGCAGCTCTAGCCTCGACACTTTTCCCTTACACAGGCGCGTCTGAACCCCCCAGTCTGACCTCTCCTGACGATGAGAAGGTGATTTGGGGTTGATGTACTGAGGGTTTGGTGTTACTGTCATCATTGTTTATATAGTTGTAAAAGAGGTTTTCATTATTTTCAGAAAAAAAGGTTGTGATTATCACTGTATTCTTATATGGATACTTACTGATTAAAGTTGAACTTGCACATTAATGTACACACATATTAGCATGACATGTCGGATACAAATGCAAGAGTTTGAACTTCAGTTTTTATTCAGAATTATGCGGAAAGTTCACCAAACACAATTAATATCCCTCCCATTTTATCACTTAATCCATCCCCCCACGTTTCTCTTTTTCAGTTCATAACTAGTGGGGATGTAGTAATAGTCAAGTGTGAGTCAGATGGGAGTCTTACCAACCATCCGGCCAAGAAACAGGTCATGGATTTCCTGAAAAACCTGGTTGTCGACTCGCTGTCTCTGCCCCCGGCAAGCAAAGGCCCACACACCATTGATCTTTTGTTGGAGGTTTGTGGGAAAAGGGTTCATGTTAACGTATCCTTCAATTTTCTCATTCGACAAATTGAATTGATAATGTTCGAAGATGTGGAACATTGCTACCAGATGCATTTTATTTTGACTGGCTTGTTGTCTATAAGTTTGTTCATGATCTTTCTTGATTTTTCTTCATAATTTTGTCACTCCCAATCAGGCCACCCCAGAGAACAGCAGCATGGCCCAGGTGTGTGAGTTCCAGACGCAGCTGCTGGGTACCCTCATGGAGCACCTGCTGGATGCAGATATCCTCATTGGAGAAGGTGCAGCCTTGCCCGTTGTGGCGGGGGGTTCCATTCAGCACATTGCACCCAACGTCTTCTATCTTGCAGCAAGGATTGTGGACAAACTCTGGGCAGGTGAGGAGGTGCAAGAGGGAAATAGGGAGAAGTAGTAAAATGAAGGATTTTTAGGAAGAAAGGATAAAAAAGAATAGGTTAGGGGAGTATGGAGGAATGGTGGCATGGGGGAAAGATATGATTGGAGGAGCAGCAAAGAGGCGGGGGTAATATATGGTAAAGGAAATTGGTCATTTTGGATTATTGTCTCATACTTATATGGCAAAATCAAGATATGATTCTTGCAACAAGACTTGGATTTTGACTTGCTATATTATGGCAGAACATCCACCATGTGTAATTTACAATATCCTGTTTCATATACCAATAATACTAAGATTGTTTAATTTTGACAGTACCTTCTCATAGAAATGATGAAATATCCAAATCATATTTGAATGATATATCATTGAATATGATAGACCTAGAATAGTTTAAGATAAGAACTGGAACAAATCACAGTAACAGTATGATTGTTCTTGTACTGAAGTATGGTCTTACCTCATTGGTGCATTGGTCTAAATATTGATTATAATGAGTAAGCACCCCCACTACTTCTACTGGAAATTATTAGATTCTAGAAGAAATTTAAAGATTAGACAGACAATTTTGAGGAATGAAACTGAATTATTTTTGATGTATATTCATATGATTGGTGGTTGATATCAAAGCCTATTTAAATCTTACCTAAAAAATCTGACTTATGTGATCACTCCACGGACTATGATTTATATACTAAGCTTCATTTCATTTCATGAATAATAAATCAAACTGTAGATCTATTTCAGCACAAAGCAGGATAGTTCCCACAAGAATGAGAAAAAAAAGAGAGAAAGAAAAAGTAGTTATTTGGTTTTACGGAATCTTATTGTATTAAGAGATTGTAACTTCTCGGAGATCATTTCTCTTGAGTTCACACATTCCTACTTTCATTAGGCATATTCAACAAGGACCCCCATGAAGTATTTGACTTCATCATCAAGCTCATCTCACAAGCCAAGCGCCGTGCATCTGGCATTAACCTGGAGTCCATTTATCATTGCCTCAACCGGACTATTCTCTACTTGCTCTCAAGACCAGCTGACTCCATTGCGTCACAGATGTCGATCCTGGAAGCTCTTCACAAGCTAACAACTCACAGGCAAGTTTGGAGAGAAACTTTCGATCCTGAATCTGAGAAGCTCTTTTATTATTTACGTCTT